TTATTTACCGCGCACTCGTCGAAGGATCACGTTTGAAGGGTTGCGGCTACCCACAACGGCTTATGCAAAAGAGTCGCGTGCAGGTCTGACACATTTGCAAATGCGCATCCCTCGCGGAAGTGAGTCAGTACACTGGAATAGCGCTCGAGAGGGCAACGGTAACGACGGAAGTGTCGAGGGGCGCGAGAGAGAGGGAGAGAGAGGGAAGCAGGGATATCGTTGGAAACACGGCTGGGGGCGGTAAAAGGACAACGCAAAGTACGGGCGCAAAGGTGGTGCGTTACTTTGGCGGCACGTCGACGTACACATCGGCCAATTAGCGGGAACAATTAATCGCCGGTGCGCCGCGGCGTCTCGTCTCGTCGCGGAAATTTCGGTCGTCCGCGAACTCACCCCCGTCGCGGTTCACCGTCGCGCGAGCGGCAGACGATACATTAAATTTCCTCTTAAGAGCGCAAAGAGTCTTTTTCGGATGGATCACTCGAGATTACTTCCGCATTCGGAATGGCCCTCTAGAGGTATCGAGAGACTTGCCGCGGGCAAATCGATAGCATCGCCGCGAAGAGCGACGGCGCTTCCATTAACACGAACAATATTTCACCTTCGCGTTCACGGTCACTCGTCGTCCTGCGTTTCCGTGACGGTGTTTCAGTCGGAACGACCGAGGGCCCGATTGCTCGCTCTCGGCTCGCGACGCGCACGTGGATAGCTGGACACACTAGCATTTTATATGTACGTACACGTAGACACGCGTCACGACACTTACCTGTTGGAAAAAACGATCGGTCCCACCGAGTCCGTCTCCTACACGTAAACTCCCAGGGGTCTCTTGAGTTCCGCGACTGGACGACCGAGTGGTCCGAATGCCGGCGCGAAAGAAAGAGAGGAAAGGCCCACGTAACAAGGAGGCAGATCCGGCGTTTTTTCGTTTCGTGTATCGATTATTGCCTTCTCTGTCCGTCTCTCAGCTCTCGATCGCTACCCCTCTATCTCACCTTTCCCGCGCTATCTCACCTTTCTCTCTTCTCTCTCTCTCTCTCTCTCTCTCTCTTTCTCTCTCTCTCTCTCTCTTCTCTCTCTCTCTCTCTCTCTCTCTCTCTCTCTCCGTTTCTCTCTTAATTTTTCTCTGCTCTCCTGTAGAGCTTTTTCCCATCGGCGACCTATCTCCCTTCGTCCATTGACTGCCCGCCTCGTCATCTTTCTTTGCGCGAGAGATGTCAACGGCACCCCTCGTGGCTTGCAACGAGCCACAGCCGTCCCTGGGAGTACCACGCGGACAAACATCAAGCCAGAAACTGCGATACGTCGGCCAGAGTACGGCAGCTCACCCCGGACATCCCCTTACGCGGGAGACGCATGCGTCGCTTTTAAACCAACGCCGAAACCATCCCCCTACCCTCTCGACTCGCGGCTATCTTCCTCCCTTTCTCCGGGGCTGAATCCGCTGCCGTTTCTCACTCTCGCGTCTCTCGCTACTGTGTAACAGTGCTGCTAACGATTCGCGGGAAATATGATTTGCGATTAATTCTGAGAAGCGCGCGCCGACTCACCCCCTCGGCGGTGTAGATAGAGCCGTTATTTATAGCACGCGTACTTCTTGGCCGAGGGGAAATCACTCTTCGGATCGTCTTTTGGTTCGCATCGGGAACATCGACTAGACACACACACACACACACACACACACACACATGTAGATCCCCTCCTGAAAGGAACGCTGCCGCGGTGGATATTGAAAAATGTCCGAAACCGACGCCGTGCGGTCTTACATCGACCGACCTACACATCTCGAGATGCATAAACTCGCTCGTAACTCGCGGCTTTAGTCCGGTCAGAGGAAAAAAAGGAGCGAGAGAGAGAGAGAGAGAGAGAGAGAGAGAGAGAGAGAGAGAGAGAGCGAGAGAGCGCACCTCCCGATCGTCGTAAAATCTGGTCTGGCGCGAATTCGTACATGTACGTACGGCGATCCCGAAGCCATGAGGGGTGCTGCGCCTGCGTCAGGAATGTCGGTGGTGGGCGAGCGGGGAGGGGGGTGTCGTCGGGGGGCATGGGGGTGAGTCAGTCAGGCCGCAGCGCGCGTTCAGAAAACTACCCTTAACGCGGGGTCTCATACGCGCTCTCGTCGGAGTAATTTATAATTGAGTCGCGAGTACGCGATAGGAATCCGACGCCGCCGATGTTTGCCGAGTCCCGGGAAGCTGCTACCTCCTCGTGAAACTCGTCGACGTGAAACTCGTTGGAAACGCGAGCCCGAGACCACGCAAGGGCACTGATTCGTCTCGGCACGGGAAACGTAACACACGGCATTATTTAGACCCGCTGCCGTCGCGCGGAGGTAGGCGGAGACGCGCGGCGAATCGTCGACGTCGTCGTCGTCGTCGTCGTCGTCGTCGTCGTCGTCGTCGTCGTCGTCGTCGTCGTCGTCGTAGTCGTCGGGGTGAATCATCGTTGGAAATTCACGTGGACCGCGCCGGCCGAGGAATATTGAAGCGAACAGGAATGGGAAAGACCGTCGAGAACGCGAACGTTCGCGAATTTCAAGAATTGGATTAAACTCGCGGCGAGTTGAGAGTCAAACCGATTGCCCTTTTGAGAAACGTCGAGAGAGAGAGAGAGAGAGAGAGAGAGAGAGAGAGAGAGAGAGAGAGAGAGAGAGAGAGAGAGAGAGAGAGAGAGAGACAACGAGGCAGGAAACGTGGAAAGGCAGCAGCAGTAACGTGGAAACAATACGTCGGTAAACGTAGCGATGCGGTGGTAAACACCGATGCGCGACAAGTATACTCGCAAAGGCCGCACTGTGCGAGAACGTAACGTTGCGTGCCGCGGCAAAGAGCTACGACCACGTAGCGGGATTCGAAAAAGCCCGTGCAGTCGCGAGTGCAGTGCAGCGGGCTGTGTGTGAAAGCGGTCGTACAAATAGCAGCACGCCGAGAGCCAACGCTATTAATCGCGCCTCGTGTCTCGTTTCTTTCTGCGTTGCGAAAGCAACTTCTCCTTCGCCAGATACCTCCGCCACTTGTTCCAAGCTCGATCGCGAGAGACAGCGGCGGTGGCCCATCGTCGTTCGCGTCAGCATCGCTTTCAACGGGGCGAGCTCTTCCACCGGAGGGAAGCTCCGCTCGCGGATTTTCCGTTGGAAAATCTCTCTCGCGTAGTCTCTCGCGTGCGACGCCTCTCTCGCCATTGTTCCGCATCGAAAAGGGTCGCGCGCGCGCGCGCCCTCGTCCACGGCGCACGACGGTCTTATCAAAAACTGGCTGTTTCACTTCTGGTTCATCCACCGCGGTCAAGCTACGTCGTTCTCCCCTTGGCAGAGAGTCAAAGGGAAAGGGAATATAGCTCGCAGGCCGGGAGCGTCGAGCGGAAAATGAAAAGTCTACTTGCTCGGTGGAAGCCGCGGGAAAGCAGAGAGGGACAATTACAGCCAGTTAGCTGGAGGATGTAACGCGAGCCAGAACCGTGGCCAGCGCCGGGTCCAGGGTCAACGTCTCGCGCGGCAAAGCTCGTCGCGGTAGCTTTGTCGTGGGAGCTTACGGTTTGGAGCGTGGTACGCGCGAAAATATGGGATGGTCGTGGAATCACAGGAAGAAAGAGTCGAGATAATCGCAACGAGACTGAGCGCGCTCAAGTATGTGGGATTTCTGAGAGTCGACTGACGAACGGTAGGCGAGAGTGTGTTTTCGGTTACGGCGGCAGATAATCCATTAGACCCATCGAGAGAGAGAGAGAGAGAGAGAGAGAGAGAGAGAGAGAGAGAGAGAGAGGGTGCGGAAAGTCTGAATTACCGTGGGGCGCCGCGTATAGCTTATTAGTGCCTGTCGTCGGTGTAGCGAGAGAGAAAGGGTGAGAGGGAGAGTCGGTGACTCGGCAAACCGGAAGAAACGGGAGAAGGTGTGCGTGAGGAGTCTGCAGGCAGCAGGAAGAGAACGGAGAGAACGGACGGAGGGAAAATATCTTCCACCTCCTGGGAAATACATCGCGAGGTCCGCCTTTCGGTGGCCAGTCCCAAAGTGTCACATCCTTTCCAAAATTGATCCCACCATTACCAGCCGGCGTACGAACACGAGCGGACGCCGGGAGAATGTAAATAGCAGCCCCGGGACTCGCGGATAGCGCAGCGCGTCACGTCGCGAATCGTCGCGACGACGATCGCCGTGTCGTTATTACGATGTCAGCGACCGGCTTCGAGAGAGACGCGCGCTTCTTTTTTCCCCGACGACGCCAACGTTGACCGCCCACACGCCGCGCCGACCGCTCCGTATATCCGCGGAATATTTTACCGCACGCGTGCGTCCGCGTCCGAGAAAGAAAGCGAGCAAGAGAGAGAGAGAGAGAGAGAGAGAGAGAGAAGAAGAGTAAGCGGTAAATGGCGTGTGTCGATACTTTTCCTCGACGGCCGCTGAATAGACGCTCTCGCGTCACTTCATCGTTTTGTACAATTGTACCGCAAACGCACCAGAAACGACAAGTATTTTTTTACACGTAGCTCAAACTCCTCGTTGTACCACTTCATTCCTTCCTTCCTTCCTTCCTTCCTTCCTTCCTTGCTCCCTTCCTTACATGCTCGCCGAGGGTCTCATCAGCCATCCGCGTAGCCGTGACCATCGTACTGCTCGAGAATTCAACGTGTCCGATTTTTTCGCGACTCTCCCCGAGAGAACCATCTCTGTGTGTATGTGCGAGTGTGTGTGTGCGTGCGACGAGGGAGAAGAGTCTCGAAGACTTTAACCCCCGCGGCGCCACGCCTGCGACAACGTTTTCGTCAGGGTACGAAGACGTGTGTCATCGTCGTCGTCGTCGTCGTCGTCGTCGTCGTCGTCGTCGTCGTCGTCATCGTCGTCGTCGTCGTCGTCGTCGTCGTCGTCGTCGTCGCCGCCGCCGCCGCCGCCGCCGCCGTCGTCATTGTCTTCGTCCTCATCTTCGTCGCGTCTTCGTCCCACTTGCCTCCGCCCTCCCGAGTGAAGGTGGTATGTTTTTGACGAAGGTGGTTTATCTTTTCATAGGTGGCACGCTGCGACGGTGGTGTTAAGTGTGCAGTGATCACGGGTGACCGAGGGAAGACGGGAGAGAAGGTGGTCAATATGACTCCTATCTTCCTCGTCCTGTTGCTGGCGATTGACCCGATTGTCGCGCAGAGTGGCGGTGAGTAAATCCCAACAAGAAATGAAATTGCGCTAGTGTTAACGAGAAAAGCCGCGCGACCAACTCGGACAGTTGTAGTCGCGCGACGCGCTGGACATTTCGCGCGAGGACAATGACCGCGCGGACACGCGCGGGGGGGGCACTTCCGCCCCCGCTAGGACTCTCGAAATCTACGGTTGTGCCGTTGCGACACACGCGCCACTTTTCCGAGGCGCGTATCTCGCGCTCGCGATCGCGCGTATAAAAGAGTCGAGTCTCGCATGTGCCGCGTCCGCGTCGCGCGCGACGAAACCAGATCGAAAGCTCGATACGCTCGCGAGCTCGCGAGCTCGCGAGCTTCGGCCGTATGTACCTCGCGTTATTTAAACGCGACGAGATAATCCTTTCTCACGAACGTACGTACGTCCGTACGTAAATTCCGGATCCTTGTAATTTATTACGCTTTACTTATTAGTCACTGTCGCTCTCGTACGTCGCGATCGACGCGGCAAAAAGCTGGCTGCGTCCCGACACGTTCCCACGAGCGGAGACTCGATCTTTCTCTTTTGTACGCGCGTAATCGCCCGGCGAGATTCGCCGTGATCGCCGTGCACGGACACTCTGCCGTCGGTACATGGCAGTCGGTGTGTGATGAAACGTAAGAAAGAGGGAGGAGGACCAAATGAAAGCGTCGTGTGTAACGTCCTTTTGTGCGAGATATAATAGCGACGCTTCGAGGACGCTCTCTCTCGCGCGCGCGAGCGAATGCGAAATGGGAAAAGGAAAGGGCGAAGAACCGGAACAGACTGCTAACGCATCGCGAGTGTCGAACGGCGCGCGGAAAAACGACGACGAAAGGAAACGCCGTCGGCGTGACTGCCGCTCCCTAGAGCCGAGGTTCTGAGCTTAAAAGAGCCCGGCTGGGGCTGGCTGCTGACTTTCTCCAAGAGACGAGCAGTAACGCGTGTGCTTTGAGCCTGGGGAGCGGCTCGGCTGCTAAATAACGAGCGCACGCATCGTGCTGAATCGCGTGCGTGTACAGCAACGTTCAGCGGCGTGTCAACGTGTCGAGGCTCGACGTCGGCGACACGAGGGAATGTGAGAAGGAGAGAGACATAGAGAGAGAAAGAGAGAGAGAGAGAGAGAGAGAGAGTGAGATCGGCTCTCGACGCTACGCGACGCCTTTGTTCGCGATTAATCGTTCGAGGAACGACAACTCGCGTTATCGAGTTCCGAGGTCTCCCTCTCTCTCTCTTTCTCTCCTCTCTCTCTCTCTCTCTCTCTCTCTCGCTCGCTCTGTGTCTCGCCCTCTCTCAGCCTGGTGTAAAGTACGACCGTTGGCGCGCGTTCCCGTTAGCGCGTACGTGCGGTTTTCGCGGCGCCGCTCAGCGTCGCGAAGCTCGGACTTTCATGGAAGTGGACGTCGACAGCCACAAGTTCGCTCTCGGAGAGCGAGAGACGCACCGGATGTGTACTCTACGGACTCTAAGACCGCTTACGTTAAACTCGACCGACTTGACTCGACTCGAGGCGACGCCTCGCGCGAGCCCGCTTGCGGATTAGAAGTAGTAATGCCCCGCGGTAACGCGGCGCGTTGGTAGTTGCGTACGAACACCATGACACCGCGCGCCGTGTCGCTCGCGCGCGTTCCCACGGCGACGTTAATATACGCGAATTCAGGACGATCGGGAGAAATGCCGGTCGCGATCATTACGCGGCGCGTACTGTCGCAGCGCGCGCCGCTTGGTAATCCGGCGAGCTTTACGCTGACTCCGTAATGACGATGATACATCCCCCGGTATTTCAGTCAATTAATTACATCGCGACGTAATCCTAATTCGAGCGTCGGAAAGCTCTCGGCGGATTTGGATGCTTTGCGAGTTTCAGCGGTCGGCCAAACGATAATGTCGTATCAGTGCGCTCGCGCGCGCGCGCATCGCTGCTGTAAAATGCGCGGAGCCTTGTTTCTCGGATCGGAGAACACGGTAAGTAGGTTTAATGGCAAGTCAATGCGAGAGTGCACGCTTTTAAAAGCATCCCGTACGTACATATGCACGTACGCACGTACCGTACGTCCATAATCGAGTTACCGATCCATGGGCGATCGGAGGGTTTGGAAATATCGGACCGCTCTCTCTCTCTCTCTCTCTCTCTCTCTCGCTCACTTTCAGAAATGCGAAACACCGTAGCGCCCCGGTAACGTATAGCGGGGAAGCAGCGTTCCGGGTCAGTAACGAATGACGAATGAGTTAACTCCAGCGATCAGCGCGAAGCGAATCATTCCTCCCGATGAGGATGCCGATGCGAATTCAATAGCCCCATTTCCCGCGATTCTCCTCGCCGACAGTCGAGCGGATTCGCGCCGGAGAAATGCTCGCTTTGTCCTTCTCTCCCTTCTAATTCGCGCCCGCGAGCGCGAGCGCCTCTGGTCGACTCGATTACGAAAAATTGCCACTCGCCTGTCAGCCCGAGAGAGCGAAGGAGGAGCGATGGAAGCGGAATCGGGAGAAAGAGGCCAGTGAGAAAAAGGAAAGAAAGCGAGGGAGACGCCGTGGTCGCGTGGAAAGGGGCGGGGAAGACGACGAAGGAGCGGGAAGGAGCGCGCGCTCGGAGGCGGATAGAGGGTGGATGGAATTCATAGTTAATGCAGATCCGTCCCGTCCGTCCTGTCTAACTCGAGGAAAAGGTAACAGCCCGGGTCGACTGCGAAGATTTCCTCGGAGGCTCGCGCTGTCCGTGCGGCGTCTTCGCGTAGGGAGGCAGGGGAGCGGTGGAAACGAGCGGCGAGCCGAGGGAGGAAGCGAGCGCTCAGCTCTATCGAGATCGCGTCTTTTTTTTTCCCGTTTATTTCACTTCTCTCCCTCCTGAGTTTCCCCCGTTGGCGGAGAGGTTCGCGTTTCGCCGCCGCGCGGCGTTCCGCTGTGTCTTTCGGTGTATGGCTGTGCTGGCGCGCGCGCGCACCGACTTTGTATCGTGAAAAATTCCGCGTCAGTGTGGTGACCCGATCGTATCGGCACTCGGGATCCGACCGGTAATTCGCGGCGATATAGTCTGCGAATATTTCCAAATCATACGTCACTTCCGGCTCGACGTGGCACGTTTCATATGGCGTACGCGCGACCACCTTTTATAATGCACATATACACGAATTCGCGGCTACGCACGCAGCTAGGTTACGAGTACACGCAGCGCGCGTAACTCGTCTCTCTTCCGCTCTCCCCTCCTCTCTCTGGTTTCCTCTCTTCTTCTTTGTTCTCGCGTTCTCCCTTCCGCTATCGCTCTCTCGGTCGCGCGGTATGTCAACGTCCCGCTTTTCTACGTCACGCTGCAAAATGGATTCTCCACGGCTCGACCTCGGCACGACAACCAAAAGCGAGCGAGGCGAACGGTAAATAGATTTTTCGACGCCATAAAAAGAACACCGAGCCGGCGCGGTGGCTGGCTCGGTGGAACATCCAGAAAATAGAGCCTCGAAAAAATTTCCGAATGAAATCACTTACCTGGAATTATATCTCGGGTAACTCGAGCGACGCGAAATACACCTCGCACAGACAGACCCGTTGTCGCGGCGACGGTATTTCTAACTCCTGACCATAGTTCCGTCTGGTTCTTCGTTCGACGAGTGCGCTGTGATCCCGACAATTCGCCGAGGCCGGATACAAAGTGATACCAGTCTCGCGTCTGATCGCGCGCGCCCACCGAAACGCAGCTGTATATTTAACACCGTGCAATATGAGGGCGAGTGTATATCACGAACATAATCAGCCGTTATACTCGATCAGCGAGATCTACCGGTTGTCGGTGAAGGAGAGGGAAGGAGGGAACACACGCAAGAAATGATCTACGACGAGATCTCGTTCCTCCGAGCGGACGCGGTGGAAACGGTCGGCCACCGTCGTTGTTTCCCGAAAAATAACCCCGCCGGCTTTTATGAGACATTATGCACGCTGAACGATGGCGCGTGGTATACGTACCACCCGCATCCCTCGCATCCCCCGCCACGCTCAGCCCGCCCCGTATCACCCCGCGAACGTCGGTTGCCGTGATCATATTTCATCGGCATGTCAAGCGAAGAAAAACTCGTTTCTACCGTAATCATATCTCTCGGCGAATCTGGTTAGACCGGCCGCTATAATACACCGCCATTACGATTGAGATAACCGCAGGAATCGCGCGCGTCGGACGCCACGCGAGGAAGAGAGAGAGAGAGAGAGAGAGACGGGGAACGGCCGATTTCCAAAACTACACGCCGGCGTGGAAACAAAAAAAGAGGAGATATTTCTCAAACGTCACACGCGGCATTCAATAAAACGGGAGACGGGTCGGGGTTACGCGTGTGGAAAAAAAAATTATACACAGTATCACTTTTTGCGCGGCAAGCGCAAGTGGAATACATATGCGTGTATACGTATATCCACAATCGTTTGACGGACCTCTGCAGTTAGACGGATGACGCGCTCGCGCGTTCTCGCCGCTTGCTGCTTCACGGGGATCATCGGCCTTTTTTCCGCCGTTTTAGCCCGGTCGAACCGATGCCCCCGCATTTTTGGGCTTGCCGAGGCCGCGCCGTTATTTATCGTCCGGCCAGACGTGATAATTTACATTCCAGCCAGCCTCCTCCCCCTCCCCCCCGCGCGTGCGCCGGCTTCGATCCTAACCTGTCGCTCGTGCCGCGCGACCTGTCGCCGTTTTTATCAGTAATTGACAGAGTAGACGCGCGGCATCGGAACCTTTCAAAGAGCCACCCTCCGCCGCGCCGTTCGCCCTCCCTCGACCGCCCTGCCAGGTATCGGCCAGCGTGGCTAAAGAACGACGCGGCAAAAACGCGGCCAAAAATCGAGCACGACGCGTAATGACGGGTGACAGCCGCTTGCGCGTGCCGTTAAATTGCTATATTTCGTTTCGCCAGTTTCGCCGATATGTGTGTATATGTGTGTGTGTATGTGTATATATATATATATATCTCTCTCTTTTTTTTTTTTTCATTCTGTCCTCTTTTTTCGCATTCGCCGTGGAAGCGT